AAATGAACGTGAAAAAAACTGTTCATGGTGTTTTTTGGATGTTAATGCTCTTACATTTTGCAGGCTGTTCTGACACTGTCTGTCAAGCAAATGTGCGCCATTTATTGCACAAGTTAGGCCAGTAGGTCTATGCCCGTTTTATTGCACTGTTTTCATGGCATAGAACCGTGAAGTGCGTTCTGCGCTTTGCCTATTTGCGGGGCTATAGAGGATTGTATGATTTTTTTCCCCCATGATAAACACCAAAGATGTTGAAATGTACAAGTAAAACAATGAAATGTTTTTTTTTTTATGCAAATGAGATTTTGTTCAAATAAAAAGTATTTTTCCAAATAAGGGTCTTGAAAAAGAGGGGTCGTCTTATATTCAGGGTCGTCTTATATTCGAGCCAATACGGTAATTATTCAAAAGCCTGTCTGAACATGTATGTTTTTAACTGTTTTTTGAAAGACTCAAACGTGTCAGAATCATGGATCGACATGGGCAGGGAGTTCCATAGTTTTGGTGCTAAGGCCTCAAAAGCTCGGTCACCACGTGCTTTAAAATTTGTCCTTGGTACAGGCAGGAGGTTAATTGAGTTAGATCTTAGTGAATGAGTTGGGCAGGTATGGGTGAATGAATTCTGTTAAATACTCAGGGGTCTGACAAAAAATGTGGCAGGTAATTAACAGCACAGATAAAAATCCATGTATTCAGTTCAGTTATGGGAAAATATTTATTTCTCAAATTAAACATACTGTGTTTATTCTCATGTTCATGTTAAGTAAAAAAAAAAGTGCATCGCTAGTCGTATCAGTGTATCTTACTTGTTTTGTGCGTTAATTCACTGAAAATATTGTATACTACAATAAATTCAATGGTAGGATTTTTTTTTTGTCATCTTATCTTCTTCACATCTATTCGATGTGACTGTGACGCCCCTTTCCTGCATCGTGCTCTTTATTTACAGGAGTAAAATCAGTTCAGTTATTTTCATTTTTTAATTTTTATATCCAGTCTGTGTTCAGCAACTTGTTATGCATCCCTGCTAGTTATTTGACCCCAGTCCGCAGCTGAAAAATATCTAAGAAGCATCTATAATATAATAATATAGCATTGCCATTTTCCAAGAATACCTATGGATGTTTTTTTCCCCAGTACTGAAGGCTGATGTTTTCTTTCTTTTCAGATGCAAGGGTTTCCAAAAAAAATTTTTTTTAAATTACATTCACGTGGCGGCACATCCGTAAATATTCAGTAAAGCTTCAGTGAAGCACTCCCCCTGCCAATTGCAAGCCTTGCAAACAGTAAACCATTTACAATGCATCCACTAGTAACCAGCATTTTATTAGCGATTTTTAGACCAGGCAGTACAGTTTCTTCTGTGCCCTCTGTAGCCTGAAGCATGTAAACATGACTAGCTGATGGAAATAATCGTTGTGCATATAATTATTTATGGACATGTCAATTTGCAACTGCACTGTACAATAGTTTACAGTTTCATCTATCCCTTGTCTAAACTGTTTCTTTTTTATCAGGGTCACTGGGGAGACGGAGCCTACCCCAGGTGTATATGAGCAAAAGGCAGAAACATACCCTGGACAGCTTTCCAACCCATCACAGGGCTCACACACCATTCACTCTCACTTAAGGGCAATTTAGTGTCTCCAATTAACCTGACATGCATGCCTTTGGGAGGAAACCAGAGTACGCAGAGAAAACTCACATGGACATGGGGAGAAATGCAAACTCCGCACAGAAAGCCCCGAGGCCAGATATGAACCCAAAACCTTCTTGCTGTGAGGCGTCAGTGCTACCCGCTGCGCCACCACAATAAACATAGGTTACTTAAACGTAATAAAAAATTACTGCAGTGATTAATGTGTTTCAGCTGGCAACAAGTTATTTAACCTGAACTGATGCAGTGAGTTGCTTTTCATTTCTTGAACCACCATGTTGCAAGACATATCCTGTGGTCGTGGAAAAGACATTACTCCGTTTCAAAAGTGTCAAATTATTACCCTGCACATCACGCAAAGAAAACAACAAAGGAGATTGCTTTAACTACTAAAATTGGGTTAAGAACTGACTAATGATCTAGGGTTGTTTCAGTTGGTCAGGTCTAGGTTTAGCAACGTTATGTGCCCAATATATGAGGTCAGCTGACTCCCTGATCATACTGAATGCCCAGGTTTTTCCATCAGTGGATTTTTTCTTCCTGATAGCACCAGCATATTCCAAGATAACAAAGCCAGGATTCATTGGGCTCAAGTTGTGAAAGAGTGGTTCAGGGAGCATGAGACATCATTTTCGCACAGGGATTGGCCACCACTGAGTCCAGACCATAACCCCATTGAGAATCTTTGGTATGTGCTGGAGAGGACTTCACACAGCGGACTGACCCTCTCATCATCAAAACAAAATCTTGGCAAAAAATTTATGCAACTCTGGACAGAAATTAATGATGTGACATTGCATTAGCTTAGTGAAATGATGCCGCGGAGAATGCATGCTGTAATCATAGCTAAAGGCGGTCCCACAAAAAATTTGAGTTTGTCACTTCTTTTTTGGCTGGGCAGTGTATAATTAATTACTATGTATGCAGTGGGCTCCAAAAATGACTGGCACCCCTGACTGACAATGCACAAAAAAACTTTAAAAAATTCTAAAATATACTCAGAGGCAATGAAAACGCAACACTCTAAATTTTGGTTTATTTTTGCTCAGGACCTGAGTTGTCCAATTTGAGTTCTTAAGTGACCGTTGGGGTCACAATGTGTACCTCGTTACACATGAATGATCATCATGTAACTCAACAGTGTGAGTTGGACTCTCATCAATCCATATTGAGTACAACATATGGGATTAGGAGTTGTGCAAGTACAGTGGTTGAAATGAAGGGGGGGTTGTCTTCCCTATATGAAGGCATGATAAAAGCCACACAAAAAACATTTTTAAGTGTCATAATGCCGCGTCTGTTGACTGAACAACGGAACAGGGCCCTGGGTATGCTAGAGGCGGGAGTAAGTGCCCGGCAAGTGGCTCACCGTTTTGGGTGTAGTACGTCCAGCATCAGTACGTTTTGGGTATAGTACGTCCAACTGGGACGAGCTCTTTCATCAAGAGTACCCAGACCTCAAACCAGGCAGCAACTCCAGAATGCACTACAGGCAGAGTGGCGACAACTTCCCCAAGACAACCTAAGATGCCAGCAACTCCAGAATGCACTACAGGCAGAGTGGCGACAACTTCCCCAAGACAACCTAAGACGCTTAGTCAGGCCCATGAGGAGACGTTGTACTGCCTGTGTGGATGTTCGTGGGGGTCACACCCGATACTGACTGTTCTTTTGAGTTCATTTTTAAATGTGTGTTCCGTGCAGTCTTGTTGTGATTTTTCATTTTCAACTTGTGCTCGTTATGTTTAATGCATCTGTTTATTATTGTCCAGATCGGCCCATTAACACATTTAATTCATCAAAGTCAACCCACCCAACATATTTGAATTGTTAAAATAAGAAAATAAATTTGAGGCACAAAATTATTTGAATCCAAACTGGTGTTGTGTTTTCATTGCCCCTGAGTATATATATACTCAACACCATTAAAAACGCACAGGTGAGGTAAGTACTGTATTTGCGGCAAATTGAAGAATCGACTGATTTTTATTGCTTTTCCAGTGAGGCATGAGAGGAAATAAAGAAAAGCGCGTGGTATTATAATCCTGACACGCACCACGTGCACGCGCCAAGCACTTCAGTAATAACAAACACTGAGCTGTTCATGATGTGTACAGTGACACTTTACTTGTTCTTTTTGGTGTGGTCAATAGCCTACATAAAGCCAAGAAAAAAAACGAAAAATGCTACTGCATCAAGAAAATGGAGTGGCTTGTGACACAGAAGAGAGAAAAAGAGCCTTTGGCATGTTACGGGCAGATCTCAGCCGCCGAAAGGTGGTGCGTCATTTGCACTGTCACCATTCAACAATCAGTTGGCTGTCTATCCGAGAATGGAACACAGGCACTGTCACTGACCGACCCTGCTTAAGGCAGCCACGAGTGACGATGGCAGCTCAAGAGCGCCACATCTGGTTACAGCCTATATGTGACAGATTCCGGACAGCAACCAAAATTGATCATGAGATGAGGGGTCCGAGATGATTGAGGGTGAGCGCAAGTACCATTTGACACTGTCTACGTGAGCAAAACATGCGTGCACACGGACCCTACAGAAAACCCATTTTTTGCCCATCAACAGGAGTAGGCTCTCTTCACTTCTGACTGTGGGCACCTGCCTCTGTGTAATTTTTTGGCACTTTATTTCCCTGTTTCTGTCTGAGAATGGAAAACAGGGACTGTCGCTGACTGACCACAGTAAGGGCAGCCATGCGTGAATGGGCAAAAACTGGGTTTTCTGTAGGGCCCGTGTGCACGCATGTGTTGCTCACATAGACGGCGTCAAACGGTACTTGCGCTCACCTTGAATTGTCTCGGACCCCTCAGCAGTATCACACTAATACACACTGAAGCCAAAGATGAATGAAATCAATCAAACCGTTCTTGAGATATTGTGTTCACAAACGGGATGTGAAGGACGGACGGACGGAGCTGAATACTATGTCCCCCCCTCCGCTCGCTACCGCGGCGGCGGGGGACGGCAAAAAACGTGCTCTCTATTCTTGTTGCATTCCACCAGGGTCATATAGGCGCCATCTTCCCATCATGGAAAAATGTATAGTAAACACCTGTGTTCAGAAATATCCATCTGTCCATTCTCTATACCCGCTTATTCCTTGCTTGGGCCATGGGAGGAGCTGGAGCCTATCCCAGCTGACTACAGGCAAAGGCAGGGACCCACCCTGGACAGCTCACCAATCCATTGCAGGGCGCGCACACCATCTGCTGTTACACTCATACCTATGGGCAATTTAGTGTCTCCAATTAACCTGATATGCATGTCTTTGGACAGTGGGAGGAAACCCACGCGAACACGGGGAGAACATGTAAACTCCACGCAGAAAGGCCCCAGGCCAGATTCGAACCCACGATCTTCTTGCTATGAGATGGCAATGCTAACCACTGCACCACCATGCCACCCCTGCTCAGAAATAAATGATCTAAAAAAAATAAGGTTGCTATGATAGACTGTGAAAAAGATGGACGAAGCAACCGTGACGTCACCCATTGGTTTCAGCATACCATTGAGGAAGCCTCGATTTTGGCTATTTGAATTGCGCCGTTTTGTCATTTTGAAACCGGATGTGATTCCTATTGGACTAGAGCGTGAACTGAATATCCGGGGAGAAGCGAGGGGTGGATCCACAGGTGGACCTTACCGTATCAAACAAGGACCAGAGGATAGCCACGCCCCTAAAACATATGCTGGCTTTATCCTTTATTCTAGTCTATTTGGGACCATAATTTACAAAAATGAACATCATGACATATCGAAGAAGACTTGAAACTTGCTATAGATACCATAAAGTAGCATGGAAAATCATTACTTAAATTAGAAATCTGGTGATAAAGTAGGGTCATTTTCGCATAGACTTCTATAGGATTGAACTTCTTTCTGCAACCACCGATGTCGCAATCTGCTGGCTATTAAATAGAATGCAAGTTTTGGATATTTCCGCATAGGCCTCAGTTTTCAGACCCGAGTGCTGCGTCCATCTTTTTATACAGTCTATGGTTGCTATAGGGAACTTTTTCAAATAAGGACACGATGATAAGCTTTCAGGATATAACCAATATTATCAAAATCAGGTAAACTGATAGATAAAAAACTCATATATTTATCCATAAATATCAGTAAAACAGATTTTAGAGAGAATACAAAAACATGTTTCTGCACGGTGTACACGGTTTTCACAGCCAACGGTGCAAGAGGAACTAACCATTTTGACACATAAATCATGTGCATCCAAATTGGTTAAAGCACAACATGCTTTGTTTTGCAGTAACCGAATATTAAAGCCAACTTACCACGAGAAAGGGGGTTTTGGGCCGTCTCGTTTTTTCTCTACATCATTGTCTAACACCATAGAGAAAACAAAAAAACTGTCAGTTCAAAAGAGGCAGATGGTCCTTCATAAATCTGGTGATAGCCACAAGAAAATTCACTAACGATTGAGTATGCCACTGAGCACTGTCAGCGTGATTTTTAAAAAATTACAATGATATGGAACTGTTGAAAACCTCAAGTGTAAAGGACACAAATGCATTTTGCCCCCCAAAATACTGAGGAGGATGATGAAAGAAGCATTGAAATCCCCAAGAATCACTGTGATGGAATTGCAGGCCTTGTTGGCATCTTGGGGTCGCCAGGTCTCAGAAAGCACCATCAGGTGATGCCTCCACAACCTCAGGTTCTTTGAAAGGATTGCCAGAAGAAAGCCTTTTCTGACCAGAAGACACAGAGGCAAGCGCTTGGAGTTTGCCAAACCTTATTTAAATTATGACTGGAACAAGGTGCTTTGATCAGATGAGAACAAAATTGCATGTTTCGGTCAGAAACGGCATCTGCATTTTTTAGTGTCGAAACAGAGTTGGATGCAAGGATAAGCACCTCATATCAACGTGAAAGATCATGTTGGGTTAGTTATGTTTTGGGGCTGTTTTACTTTAAGAGGTCCAGGGGCACTGATTAAGATTAATGGCATGAATTCCGTCAAGTATCAGGATATTTTGGCTGACAATCTGGTAACCTTCGTCAGAAGGCTGGGACTTGGCCAAAGGTGGACTTTTCAACAAGACAATGACCCAAAGCATAAGTCAAGATCCAGTCAGAAATGGTTCTGAGACAAAAAAAAATCTAAGTTTTGCAATGGTCATCTCAGGCACCATACCTCAATTCCGTTGAACACCTGCGGACTGAGTTGAAGAGGGCAGTTGATAAACGGAAACCCAAGAATAGGAATGATCTTGAAAAAATCAGCTCAGAGGAATGGTCCAAAATTCCCCCAAATGTGTGCCTTAACCTTCTCAAAACTTACAGGGAAAGACTCCATGCTGTTATCCTTTCCAGAGGTGGTTGCACTAAGTACTTACTGAAGGTTGCCAATAATTTTTAAACCTTGTTTTTGTTTAAATTCATTTTGTATTAAATGATTCTCACAATTTTGGTTGTTTCCATGGGAACATTAATAAACTATTTCACACGTTGGTATATTCTATTTCTCTATAATTATATTGTTTCTAATTTTTTATTTATTTTTTTTTGTATTGTTCATGCACTGCCAGTCAGGGGTTCCAGTCATTTTTGAGCCTGCCATATATATATTTTTTAACTCAGTAGGTTTTGTCCTCTTATAATGTGCAAGATCCACACCATATTTGAGATCGAGAGAAAATAGTAGGCTCTATAGCAATTGTGAGGGAATCTCTGCAACAGCAGTACAGAATAAATGGTTGTCTGAAACCCAGAATTCAGACCTGCTGTGACTATAATATGAATAATCACCACTGTTCAGCACTCCAGCCATCACATGATCCACATTTCCTCATGACAAACATATTGACCGCTAATTATTGCACAATTTCAAGCAGGCATTCACTCATGCTTGCAGTCTTAAACTGTCCTTTATCGTAAAAGTCATATTCCTATATTTGGGGTGTGTGGAAAGTGCTATTAACAAGGTAAGTGCAGCATTTACAGAACTAAAATGGGTATATTACACTAATAAAAAGACAGCTTTGTACATAAGCTTTATCTATATTGTGAGCTACAGCTGTGATACAACACCAAGGAATTAAGGAAGTGAATCTTCATTCTCACTGCAAAAACAAACTCTCACCAAGCATTTTAATCCTGTATTTAGATTTAAACACTTACATCTACTACCTTCATAAGAAAAAAAAAATGATGTCACTGATTTTAAGTGATTTTGGCTCATTTATTTGATTTGTCCACTAGTTAAGATAATTTCACTTACCCCATTAACAAATCTAGAAATTTGTCAAAATTACTTCAAATCAAATAAAGACTTTCTTTTCCTAAGAAAAAAAGATAATGAAAATCAGTGTTTATGTCTAAATACAAGAATAAAATGCTTGGTAAGATTTTGCATTTGCAGTGCTCTCGTGGGCACTTGACTAATACCTACCTCTCCAACAGCTGCTTCCGGTTTTTTTAACCAAGTTCCAGGCCAAGGCTTGTCTTGCAGGATTTCAAGCAATGGTGACAATAACAAAAGGAAGATCTGGAGTTCTGATCACTGCTCCCTCCAATCCCAGGTGAATGAGACTGCATAGCATTCACATTATGGTAACCAATCAGCAATCGTCACACTCGAAGCAACATACTGAGCCCACCTATAGAGCAAGAACCATGATACCAGCCAGCATATTCAAATCACAATACTTACAATATTACAAACTGCAGCTGTTAGAAATCAGTGATTTGTATGCTTGTTTTTAGTTTCTAGTTTTTAGTATTGCTATTATTTATTTTATTTATTATATTTATTCATTAGAGCATGTGTGTTTCTGGATGATTGCTCTGTCTCTGGTCTTCAGTGTTTTCCTTCCGTTTCTGTCTCATGGCATCTTGTCTTTTTCATCACACTCTCTTCCCTGTAATTTCGGTTTGGTAATTCCTCTTCCTTCTCTCTTGCTGTTCTGATTGGACTATCCACACTTAGAGCAGTTCAGTTAGGCATGGGTGATTAGTTAGTTCAAAGTTAGGATCCCACCTACTTCCTCTCTCTCTCTCCTATCACCGTCCTTGCTTTTCTAGATCCGCCTCTCCTCTCACCTGTTCTGAGTTTAGCTGGGCCTCCACTTAATTTGTTTGTGTTTAAAAGACCCACTTTCCCGTAGTTTCTTGTCGACTCGTTTCTACCACAGCTCGTTCTTGGTCAGTCTCGTTTCTGCGCTATTCTGCTCGTTTCGATTGTTGAAAGCTCGTTTCTTGTGATTCTCCCGTAAGTTTTGTATTTGATTGTTTGTATTGCGTTGTGAGATTGCTATTTGAGTGATTAGTACTTCGTTCTCCCTAATTCCCATTTTGTATCCATCTGTTTAGTTTCTCCTGTGTTCTCTCCTTGTCCCATCCAACTCCCTTTTTCCTTCCCTTCCATTCCCTTAGTTTCAACCCTCTTTGTTACTGTCTTTGTGCGGATTGATTATTCTGGTTACTGGATCTTTTTGCTTGTCCCCTGACTTCGATTCTGCCCATCCTGCATATCTCTGTTTGCCTGGCTATTGATCCATTTCTGTCTTGACCATGAGCTTTGTGAATCCCAATAAACGCTCTGCCGATGCTGAACTGCATTTGGAGTCTATGCCCGTTCCTTTCAGCAGCACACATGCTCCAATTCAAAATAATACGTCAGGCAAAATGCAAGTGTCTTTGCTAGTTTCACACAAATGCAGTAGTGAATTTCCCATCCAGTGCTCATGTTATTCAAATAGTAAATATACTTCTGCACAATAGAGCACCATGAGTGGTTTGGTCTTAAAATTTGGCAGGTGCATTGTTGGCACACTACTATCTTGAGGCAGTGAAAAGCAGCAGAGCAATGGCTGTTTTATCAGTTTTCTGTCTAGTCTGTGAGTTTTATAGTTCATCAAATTAATTAAACTGCCTCTTGTGGTTGTAAAATATTCTTAAATATTCTAAAATGAAAGTGTAAACATAATCATAGTTCAACAGAAAGAACTCAGCCAGGTTCATGTGGCCCTTCAAAATTTCTGAGAGAGAATGTAGAGCTGTAAAGGAGCAAAAACTCATAAATCTGTCAAAACCCCCCCGCCCCCCCAAAACCAGATAACAAAGCCCTAGCAGGCCGCTCAAGGCCGGCTATATGAGCAAGTCCTCCAGAATGAAGATATTGGTAGTCAACCAATAAGATGCCTCATTACATGAGCCGGCGTACTCCGATTTATTCCGGACAAGACCAAGAATCCAGCCGACTTGGGCACCCAAGATGATGAAAACCCAGAGGATAATTGACTCTCAGGGGCACCCTAAGTTTAAGGAGGATAGGTGCAGTGCATGACCATCCCTAGAGGCCTTAAATGAATTCACACTATTATATAAAAGCCAATTCCAGCAAACTTGTAACTAAGGGTGTAAAATTACAATTATGACA